TAATAATAATAATAATAATAAAGAAATACAAAAATGAAAAAAAGATCAATAGTGAAACGATATACATTATGTATGTTGTGTTGTCAAAGTAAGAGAAACAATTGAGACCCTGCAATTGTGTGTAAATGAGGCAGAAAGTCAGATCAGCAACCTGGGACTTGGTCACATGCAGGGTCTACCATTAGACAACACATTATGCTTCCAATATCTTCCCAGGCGGTAGTACCTCCCTGTTTGAGAAGCGTTTATTTATATATATATATATATATATATATATATATATATATATATATATATATATATATATATATATATATATATATATATATATACACACAAAGATTTAATAATTGTAACGTGTATACAGTACGTGTAACATTTATACTGTGGTTGTTGTGACTGCGTATACGTCTCCCCGGTGTTCGTCATCAGGAGGTAACGAGGAGGGACACTTCTGGCTTCACCCGACCACTGGCAGACTGGCTATCCGCTCACCGCTCGACTACGAAACACAACAAGAGGTAATGTTCTTCTGTTTTTGTATCGTAGATGTGTTTTTGTTTTGCTACTTGGTCGGCGTTTATTTCTCGAAGTTGTTTTGTTTTTCTTATATGTGTTGTTGACGTTTATTTCGCATTTTTGTTTTGTTTGGAATTGTGTTGACACTTGGTCTTTCGTATTGTATTTGTTGTGATCAAAATTTTTCTATGCTGTTTTGTTTTGTACCTTTGTGAAAAAAATATATATATATATATATATATATATATATATATATATATATATATATATATATATATATATATATATATTCTCTTGTTTTATACTTAGTTTTGATACAGTTTGAGCAGTAATGTTTCAGTGTTTTACTTTGTTAATTATTATTGTTAGTTTTCATAATGTTTCCTCGTTAACTTATAATAAAATTGTATTGATTTTATCCAGCATTTAATCTCGCATTTGTTACTATTGTGATTATTGCGAAGAATGTTTCCTGTTTTGGTGTCGGTAAATAATGGAATAGCACTCCATCATTTTGTGTGTGTGTGTGTATGTGTGTGAAATAGTAATAATAATAATAATAATAATAATAATAATAATAATAATAATAATTAATGGTTTATTGAAAGCATGGCAGCCGGAAGGCTGAAAATATACACTTGCCTAATTGGGTAATGGGTCTCTTGATTGACAAATAATATACAAGTAACATGAGGATACAAATATGTTACATAATAACTAGGTGGGGAGAGCTAAAACTACAGGGCAATTCAACATAGTGACAGTGCAGAAAGGTAAGATTGACTGGGAGTGAATACACTGGTTGATTACAAGTTATTGATAATTTTTACAATAGACTGGGCTGTTCTTATAGCGATCAGTACGTGCACGTATGGGCTGGATGCTGTTGTGGTGTCGAACAGTAATTCGCTGACGAGAGCTCTCGGGTGGTAGTCGGGGCCGGTGTCGAGGATGGTGCATAAGCTTCTCATCAAATTTACAGTTGAGGTCGTGGTGATGGTCAGTGAGAGTCGAAAGGGTCAGTGTGTTGAGCTCTTCTTGATATGTGGAGTAGGAAGGGGAGAGAATAATCTTGCATGCCCTCTTTTGCACTTTTTCTAGGTGTTTACGTTGTGTGGCATTTAGGGAGGAAGACCAGGCAGGGGAGGCATAGGTGAGCTTGGGAAGTATGAATGTTGAGTAAACACTGAGGAGCTCGGGCGCAGGAACTCTGAGGGACTTGAGTCGGCGGAGGAGGTGAGGAGGTGGAGAAGGAAACTGGACGATTTGACAACTTCACTGACGTGTGTTTTCTAATTTAGTTTGTTGTCTATGGTGACGCCGAGGAGCTTAGTGGAGTCTACAACCTGGAGTGTGTTGGGGCCTAAAGTAATGGAAGAAGGTGGGACAACGTCGGAGGAGAGGTGGATGTGCATGACCATGGTCTTGGTATGGTTGATGGTGATGTGGTTGTTGGTGGCCCAGTTTTGGAATCTGTTCAATAAATCCTGAAGGGCGGTGTAGTTGGGAGCCGAGTTGTTGACACTGATCCCAAAGGTGGAGTCGTCGACATATTTCCAGCGAGCAGAGGTTTCTCTTCTGGCATCATTGATAAGCATAAGGAAGCAGAGTGGTCCCATTTGGTGCCTTGGGGGACGCCACAGGTGAGTGACTGAAAAGTGAAGACAGCCCCTCGGAAGCGTATGGCTTAGCGTCGGTCACTAAGGAAGTCTGTAAGCCATGGTATAAGACTTCTTCGAAACCCGAGGTTGAAAGCTTTGTTGATGATTAAATTGTGGTCGACTAGATCAAATACTTTGGTGAAGTCAATGAAGGCGACAGCCACAGACGTTTTTCGTTTCCCCAGATGGCGGTATATGTAGTCGAGAAAGCTGACAAGACAGTGAGTGGTGTAGGAAATTTTCATATTACCAAATTGCTGAGGATCTATGGCGCCTTCAATATCAGCATAAACCCAGTCAAACACAAAAATTTCACAGATTATGCTGGGTATTGGGGTGATTGCAATGGGTCGTAGCTCATTTAAGGATTGTGGACTGGTTGACTTGGACATTGGTGACACATGTGAGGTCTTCCAGTCAGCTGGGCATCTTGCTTGGCTGAGGGAAGCATTGATGATGGAGCATAAGGGTTTAGCAAGCTCCGGGGAGAACTCCTTGTTGAGTTTCATTGGTAAGTCAACGGGGGTGGTGGAGCGCTTTAACTTCAGTTTGTTCAGACTTTTTGCGACTTCAAATTCTTCTACTAAGTCAGTGGGAAAGGGGGCTGGTAGGTAAGCAGGGAGTTTGGTTGTGTCAAGCCGGAGGAGCGTCTGGTTATTATCAATGTCATAGTACTAACATGACGCCAGCACTATGTTTGACCACCTTATCATACCTATTAACACACACACACACACACACACACACACACACACACCTAAGCCGCCTGGCGTTACCAACAGATATCACCCCACAACCTCGAGTCTCCTCCGCTAAGATAGGAAACTGTACACTCTCATCCAATGCCATTCACACACCAGAAAAAATAATGATGTAAGCTTTCAGGTGGAGGGAGGGAGAGAGAGATGGAGCGAGGTAGGAAGAAGTAGTAGGACAAAAGAGGGGGAGGATAGAGGGAGAGAGAGAAATAGGAATAGAAGGAGGGAGGGAGGGAGGAATGAGAAGGAAACAGGGAAAGATGGAACGAGGGCGGTCAGGGGGGATGATGGCAGGGAGGAAAAGCTGAAGAAGAGAGAGAGAGAGAGAGAGAGGGGGTGGTGAGAAGGAAGGAAGGAGGAAGGAAAGGATTTGTGGGAAGGAAGAAAGGAGGAATGGGGAGAGGGGAAGAGATTGTGCGTCACCTTAGAGAGTAAAGCCACCATGGAACAACAAGACAATAGCTACGAGAAATAGAATCAATGTAGTTTTTAATGCAATCTAAGCGTGACGGAAGGAGGGCGTGATAGACTCAGCGACCTCCAGGATGGGGTATTCAGTCCTTCCCCTCAACCACTGAAAACTCTTTTGTTATATACGATAGAATTCAGTTGCGTTTTTTTACTTACTGTATGATATTTTTTGGTTTGTGTTTACTCTTTGGCTTCAGTGTTTACAGGAGTTGGTTGATCTTGATGACACGACAATATGACTACAAAATGTGTAATATTTTGGATGGTGTTTACTTTGTGAGGTTTGGTTAGGTTAGGTTAGGTTGTGTGTATAAATATAGTTATGTATTTACTGTCAAGATAGTTAACTTGGATTACTGGAAGGTTAGGTGTACCAGATTATTTCGTGTGGTGACTAAACATCCTAATCCTAACCTAATCTAAAATTAACCTAGTATAACCTACCCTAATCTAAAGTTAACCTAACATAACCTAACCGCAAGTAGCATTAGAGTGGATAATCATCAGGTGAAATAAGCTGAGGTATCTAATTTTCACGTAATAAAAAAGTCAGTGTACCAGGGTCGTCCTCAGTGTACCAGGGTCGTCCACAGTGTACCAGGGTCGTCCTCAGTGTACCAGGGTCGTCCTCAGTGTACCAGGGTCGTTCACAGTGTACCAGGGTCGTCCTTCACAGTGTACCAGGGTCGTCCTTCACAGTGTACCAGGGTCGTCCTTCACAGTGTACTAGAGTCGTCTTCTCACCAGCAGGTAAAGACTACTCACAACAGTCACACACAACCACGGCTGCAAGTGAAGTAAAAACTCTTTAATGGGTTTTATTGCTCTCCAGTTCTGTAAAATTCTCACCAAAATAAAACACCTCTTGATATGGCCGCACCATTAGACGAGAAATAGCCTTTGGGAATTCAGTTATCGCTCGAGCAGTAAGTTACGCTTAAGTTAGACCTCCGAGTTTTTACCAGTGAGAGCTTTCACGGTGAACACACAAAGAGCACTTGGGGGGAGGTTGGACACTGAAGTGGTCCTTCAAAGATATTGGATCATTTAATAGATATTAAAAAGTCGATAAGGAGTAAATATTTAATCAAAGAAAACGGGTCAGCGAGTAAATGTTAAAGAAAACGGTTTCCAGAAAATGGATCAACACAACATTACCGACAGTTCCTAAGAAGGTAATATAACTTAACATTATCGACCATTGAACATCATATTCCATCAATTATTACTAAACACTGGAGCATTTTCGGTCATTAAACATTATTATCGGAAAATAACAAAGAAAACTAAACATTATGAAGCATCAGCGGTCATCACACGTTATTTTCCAACATTACCGAGAAATACAAGCATATTTACCGACTATGTTAAAGTATAGTAGTCACCATTACCTCGACATGAGGCAAATTAGGTTTGACGGAGCAGAGTGGCTGGGCGGAGGAGGAAAACAATATTAATTTACTCAGACCAATTTTGGAATTTTGTATTGCGAGTTCAAATTCACCTGTTGGTTTGTTTGTAACTTCGCTACGCGCCAAAGTTTGTTGTATGAGTTAACGACACGCCAAACTTTATAGTGGGAGTGAACGACACGCCAAAGTTTGTAGTGGGAGTGAACGACACGCCAAAGTTTGTAGTGGGAGTGAACGACACGCCAAAGTTTGTAGTGGGAGTGAACGACACGCCAAAGTTTGTAGTGGGAGTGAACGACACGCCAAAGTTTGTAGTGTGATTCCATGACACGAAGAAAGTTTGTACTATAGTGTGATGACAGAAAACAAAGTAAAAAGTTGAGTGTGTGTTCGTGATGAATCAAAGTTTTCATGACCTATTATTTAACGACTCGCCAGGGACAGTGAAGTGAGACTAAGAAGAGAACTTAACACACTCCTAAGTCCTTACCCTCCATCTGTAGTCAAGACGCACGGCCACCACTATCATGAATCCCTGAGAGTTGCGAGTCTGCCAGACGTGTTCAAAGTGGGGCTGGAGTGAGGAATAATCAGTCTATAATAACAGTCTTACACGTGAGAGTCATCACAAGGCGTCTGGAGGCAAACATCTGAGTTCTGGTAACAAGATTCTCCCAAGAGCTGAGATCACGAACTATCATCAGCGGGACTTGGGGAGATATCAACAAGATGGTGTTATAATGGAGTAAGAAATGGGACAGATGAATTCAAGTCAGGGAGAATGAACGGCGAAGTTCAGCCTCGTGCTGGTGATGTTATAACGGATGACTGCGCTTCACCAGTTAACATCTCTTAGGCACGTAGATTATATTAGTGATTATGAACACAAACTGTACATGTCACAGATTTTTTTGGTAATAATAAAGACGTAATTATGATCGACTGTCTCACATAACAGAAACCGTCAGAAGTCAATAACTCATAAAGTCTATTGTTGAAATATTAGAGTGTGGGAGAGACGGTTCTTCAGGACGTTGGGGCATCACTCGGTTGAGGCGATGACACTGGGATGAGGGGCAGGCGGTGGAGGGGATCATCATATCCTGCTGCTGCCAGACTATTGAAGGATTTCCGTCAGGATATAATTTTTTTTAACGGAGGTGATGTGTTTCATAACATAGCTCTTCATATCTGAGATGATCATCGTCGTTATCGGGGTGATGCAGTAAATGTCGTCAGTGGTTGGTCCATTTCCTACTTGACAGTGATCTCACATCAAAGCTGGAGTATATAACTCTTGAGCTTCACCGACAAATGAAAAGTTTTCCACAGATGATGGCTTCAGTAAATGTCTTCACGTGTAAATTATTATTAAGGCTGCCTGAGAAGAGGAAAAGGGTGTTATGAGTACAGTAGTTTACCTGATGGTGACTGAAGTGTACATACATACATACATACATACATACATATTCCCAGTCATTCTTACTTTCTGCACTGTCACTATGTTGAAATGCCCTGTAGTTTGAGCTTCTCCACACCTAATTATTATATTTCATATTTGTATCACTTATGTGACCTGTATATTATTTGTAAATCAAGAGACCCATTACCCAATTATGTAACTGTATATTTTCAGCCTTCCGGCTGCCATGCTCTTTCAATAAACCGTTAATTATTATTATTATTATTATTATTATTATTATTATTATTATTATTATTACATACACTGATCATCTTGACAACATTTTAAATAAGTTATCCTGACCCGTGTATGTTAGTCAGACAGAACTACATGTTGGGTTTATTTTCAATATGAATATTGTTGACCTGAGGAAGAAAGTAATTGGTCTCCAAACAGACAAACACTTTAAAGGCAGAACACAACTCCCAGTATTATGGATGCAAGAGGAATCAGGTTCCCTTCATTATGTCTGCGAAGTTTCACATCTCTTAAGTTTCATGGTGTTGGAGCTGCGTCGGTGACTAACACACACACACACACACACACACACGGGCTCTTCCAGTATTATAATAAATGTTTATTCACTCGCGGTATTACAGCTAAACACAACCACGTAAGTCGTTGGTCTGTATTTAAGAGAGGTAAAAGCTTCAGTCCGTCTACCTTGTGAGTGAGTGGTGGAGTAGGGAGAGAATGGTGGAGGTCTCAGGTCTGGGTTCAACATATATTACCTTAAAACATTTCGTCATGAGCCAAAAGCACTTTACTTCATCTAAGCGTTCCCTCCCATAAACTTTACCAATTCGACTAAAACATCGGAGTTACACAACACCATCCAATACTGCACAATATATTTTAGCGGTTTTGTTTACCTTCCACACCCAAAGAGAATGTCTGACTCTGTGTTTATCCCCCACGTATAGTTGTCACTCTCTTGCCCCTTCAGTACTCGCTGGTGGTGGAGGCGAGGGTGGGGGAGGCGCAGAGTGAGGCGAGAGTGGTGGTGAGGGTGAGGGACCAGAACGACCACGCCCCCGTCTTCCCCAGGACCCTGCATGAGACACAGATCACGGAGGAGGATGACCGACACCTCCCCAAGACCATACTGACGGTGAGGATGTGTCTGGTTTGTGTACCGTCACATAACGGATAACATGAAGTTTACACACCCCGCCTTATTTCACTTGATAAACATCCAAACTTAACGTTACTTAACCAAATGTAACCTAACTTAACCCCAAGGTATAGTAGCGTTAGCGTATTTAACTAATAATTGTACATCCATAACTTTATACCGTAAACAAGAAAAACCCACTAAATTAACCCTTTCACAGCGGGAGGTTACCCTAAGCTGAATAAAATCGTCTGGCGGTAGCCAGAGTAAAATGGCAAGTGCGTGACACGCGGTGAAAGGGTTAATAAAATAATATAAAAAACAAATTAAAAATAATGAACACTTTATAGCAATTGATTATATAATTCTGAAACATCAAGTAAATTGTTATAAACCATTGATGATAATTTATGTTAATAGATTATGTTGTTTTAGATCAATATACAGTACATGTTCCTGAGACACAGCTGGGAGCCTCAGTCACGTTCATAGTGTTGTTGTTGTGTGTTAGACTGTGTAAGTGTACTGTTGGTAATTATAGTTTTGTGTGTGTGTGTGTGTGTGTGTGTGTCTTGTGTACTACAGCTCTTCCCTACAGCAGGTAACAGCTACTGACGGGGACGCCGGGGAGTACGGACGCCTGAGGTACAGTCTCTCGGGTGATGGTGTCGACACTACTGGTTCCAGGTCCGCCTTCGCTATTGACCCGCTGACGGGGGCGATACGGCTGTTGAGGGTGAGTGTACAGCTAGGTAGGGGGTAGGAAGGAAGGGGAGAGGGTAGGAGAAATGAAGAGGGTAAGGAAGGAGGGAGGGAGGGTAGGAGAATGGGAAGAGAGTACGGAAGGAGGGAGAGAGGGGAAGTGGATGAAGGATCGAGGGGAAGGGGATGAGGGTGGGAGGGGTGGATGAGAGGGCAATGGAAGGAGGAAAGTAGGAAGGGAGTAGGGGGAGGAGGGAGGGGTTTGGTGTAAGAGAGAGAGAGAGAGTGTATGATGTCTCATGACTCTTGACTACTATAAACGGTTGCTCCCTCGAGTTAAGGTAACATAGTACTCTAAAGTGACATAGTACTCTAAGGTGACATAGTACTCTAGGGTGACATAGTACTCTAAAGTGACATAGTACTCTAGGGTGACATAGTACTCTAGGGTGACATAGTACTCTCAGGTAACAAAGTACTCTAAGGTGACATAGTTCTCTAAAGTGACATAGTACTCTAAGGTGACATAGTACTCTAGGGTGACATAGTACTCTAAAGTGACATAGTACTCTAGGGTGACATAGTACTCTAAGGTGACATAGTACTCTAACTCATGGGGTCAGTCCTTAGGGTCAAAACAAGGCTTCATAATGACCACGTCTTTGTGTTTATGTAAATTTTGTAGCAACTTTGAACGACATCTGAATCGACGCTTAAATCAAAATCCATACGTGTTGGGCTATGTAATCACACACACACACACACACACACACACACACACACACACACACAAGAGTATCATACCAACTTTGTAACCTTGCCATGACCCCTTTAAGGTGACGCCAACACAGACGGGCGTCACTTGTGGCTGGTGGTCCCGCTGCTGGAAAGTTTTTGAGGAAAAAAACTAACAGAAAAAAAATGGTGCGAGTTTTTAGTTTCGAATTTACTCAAAAAAGAAGTAGATTTTTTCCCTTTTATACCGAAATAAACTTGATTGGAAATAAAAAGGGTAAAAAATTATATAGAAATAGACGTATTTATATATTATTGACGATTAAGTGCGACAGTTTGAAAGAGTTATAAGAAGTGTGATGTAAATACTGTAGTTGTTGTGTTTCTGACTGTCGCAGTGATGACGTTATATACATACATACATACATACATACATACATACATACATACATGCATACATACATACTGTACATACATACATACTATACATACATACATACATACATACATACATACATACATACATGCATACATACATACTGTACATACATACATACTGTACATACATACATACATACATACATACATACTGTACATACATACATACTGTACATACATACATACATACTGTACATACATACATACATACATACATACATACATACATACATACAAACAAACAAACACACACAACCCGTAGATAACGTGTGATACTACCCAGTTAGGTTAGGTTAGTTGAGGTTTGATTAAGTTAGGTTAGGATTGGTTGGCATTAGGGTGGTTGTGTTAAATTAGATTAGGTCATGTTAGGTTAGAGTGTATTAAGTTAGGTTAAGTTAGGTTAGCATCAGGATAGTTAGCTTATGTTAGGTTAGATTAGATTAAGTTAAGTTAGGTTCGGTCAGGTTAGGTCATCTTAGGTTAGTTCATGTTAGGTTAAGTTAGCTTAGCATCAGGGTGGTTAACTTATGTTAGGTTAGGTTAGATTAAGTTCAGATTAAGTTAGGTTAGGTTAGTTCATGTTAGGTTAGCATCAGGGTGGTTAATCATAAGGTAAAACAAGCTGTAGGAATTACTCTCCAGGTGACCCGCTATATTGACCCAGTAAAGACTATGAACACGTCCACCTGTTGACCCGGGGAGCCTGACATAAACACAACCGCTGTCAACATCTGCATCACAAAGACCAGCACTTGTCACTTTTGTTCAACATCAGAACAAAAGTTGGAGGCTTTTATTGTGACATGGTGTCTGTCTGTCTGAGTGATTTGGTCGACATTGTCTCTCTCTCACTGTAGAAATGTAGAAATCTTTCCTCTTACTCTCTCTAGAATTATTTCCCTCCTCTCTCTCTCTCATTTCCTAAACGTCTACATAATCTACACGCGTCATTGGTCACAACTGTAATCTTCATTTAGTTGTGTTAGCTCAGTTTCGTTCGTCCGCTCCGGGGCTTCCAGGTGTCAAGACGCTCGAGACAGACTCAGGCCACCACTAACTCTCTTGTTGGGATGAATGGAGAGAGAGAGAGAGAGAAAGTCGGAGAACTGAAGCACTATCCTTCTCCTCACTAATGAAGGAACTATCATAAACGTAATTAAAAGCAGCCAAATGACGTATACATTATAGAAAACGCACATCAAAGCAAGCATTCATAAGCACATAAACTTTCAGGAAAACGTATACATGAAACGGTATATACTGTAATTATGTAAACTTTAAAAAAATACATATTCGAAAACACTCATTATTTTGTAAACATTAAAAAGAACTCATTCTTCCCACAATTCCTGGAGACTTGGGTATTATTGTACACGTGTGGGTATTATTGTACACGTGTGGGTATTATTGTACACGTGTGGGTATTATTGTACACGTGTGGGTATTATTGTACACGTGTGGGTATTATTGTACACGTGTGGGTATTACTGTACACATGTGGGTATTATTGTACACGTGTGGGTATTACTGTACGTGTGATTATTGCTACACATGTGGAATAATCACACGTGTGGGTATTGCTACACGTGACAGTGTATTACTGTACATGTGGGTATTATTGTACACGTGTGGGTATTATTGTACACGTTGGGTATTATTGTACACGTGTCTGGTTACTACGGTACACGTGTGGGTATTCTACGTGTGGGTATTACTGACACGTGTGGGTAATGTGTACGTGTGGGTATTATTGCACACGTGTCGGTGTGTGTACACGTGTGGTGTAACTGTACACATGTGGGTGTGTTACCGTGGGTATTACTGTACACGTGGGATTATTAATACGTGTGGGTATTACTGTACACGTGTGGTACTGTACACGTGTGGTATTGTCATCACGTGTGGGTATTATTGTGCACGTGTGGGTATTATTGTACACGTGTCGGTATTATGTGCGATGTGGAGTGTTATTGTACATGTGAGTAATCTATTACGTGTGGGTATTATTAGTACACGTGTGGGTATTGTGTACACGTGTGGGTGTGTACACGTGTGAGTATTACTGTACGTGTGAGCATTACTATTACACATGTTGGGTATTATTGTGCACATGTGGTATTACTGCCTGCGTGTGGTATACTGCCACGTGTGAAGTATTACTGTACACGTGGGTAATAATGTGCGATGTGGTATTACTGTACGTGTGGTGTGTGTACACGTGTGGGTATTATTATTGACACGTGTGGAGTATTATGCACGTGTGAATGTTACTATGCACGTGTGGGTATTATTGCGTGTGGTATTATTGTACACGTGTGGCTAATTGATATACGCACGTGTAGGTGTATTGTACGTGTGGGTATTATTGTACGTGTGGGTATTGTGTACACGTGTGGTGTTATTACACGTGTGGGTGTGTGTACGTGTGGGTATTATTGTTTTGATAATGAAGTATTACTGTACGTGTGAGTGTACGTGTGGGTATTATACACGTGGGCATTAATCCACTACACGTGTGGGTATTATTGTACACGTGTGGTGATGCTGTACACTGTGGGTATTACTGTACACGTGTGAGTGTCTGTACGTGTGGGTATTGCGTGTGTGTGTACTCATTGGGTATGCGTGTGGTAGTGTTTAACGTGGTGTGCTGTACACGTGGGTGTGTGTACACGTGTGGGTGTTATTGTACACGTGTGAGTATTATTGTGCACGTGGGGTATTATTGTACGTAAGCGTTATTATTGTGCGTGTAATTATTGTACACGTGTGGGTATTATGTACACGTGTGGTCGGTATTATTGCCGTGTGGGTATTGTTGCCAACGTGTGGGTATTAGTATTGTTAATTGTACACGTGTGGGTATTATTGTACACGTGTGATTATTGACCGTGATTATTACTATGCACGTGTGGTATTACTGGCACACATGTGGGTATTACTGTACACGTGTGGTATTACTGTGTACGTGTAGTGTTTGTACGTGTGGGTATTCTGTACACGTGTGGGTATGTGTACACGTGTGGTATTGTACACGTGTGGGTGATGTGTACGTGTGAGTATTACTGTACACGTGTGGGTATTAATGTACGTGTGGGTGTTGTACACGTGTGGGTATACTGTACACGTGTGGTGTTACTGTACACATGTGGGTATTATTGTACGTGTGGGTATGTGTACACGTGTGGGTATTACTGTACACGTGAGTATTACTGTACACATGTGGGTGTGTGTACACGTGTGAGTGTTACTGTACATATTAGATTACTGTACACGTGTTAGATGATATTGTACACGTGTGGGTATTACTGTACGTGTGAGTATTCTGTACGTGTGGTATTACTGTACACGTGTGGAATACTATTACACGTGTGGGTATTACTGTACACGTGTGAGCATACTGTACACATGTGGGTATTGTACACATGTGGGTATGTGTACGTGTATTGGGTATTACTGTACACGTGTGGGTGTGTACACATGGGTATTACTGTACGTGTGCAGGTATTATTATACGTGTGGGTATTACGATGTTGAGCATTACTATACACGTGTGAGTATTACTCAACACGTGTGGGTATTATTAGTACACGTGTGGGTATTACTGTACGTGTGGTATTACTGTACACGATATTTGACAGTATTATTAGTGCATGGGTATTACTGTCCGAGTACACGATGGGGTGATGTACGTGTGGGTTAATTCACTGTGGGGTAATGCCACACATGTGAGTTATTACCGTGAGGATATTACTTTCACGTGTGGCATTACTATACGTGGTGGATTATTGTACGTGTGTTGATTACTGTGCGATGGTAGATTACTGACGTATTGAATATGTACGTGTGGGTGTTACTGTACATGTGTGGGTATTATTGTACGATGTGGGTATTACTGTACGTGTGGGTATTACTGTCACACGTGTGGGTATTACTGTACACGTGTAGGTATACTAGCCACGTGTGGTATTACTGTACACGTGTGGGTATGTGTACGTGTGGTATTATTGTACACGTGTGGGTATTACTATTACGTCAGTATTACTGTACACATGTGACAGTACTACACGTATTACTCACACGTGTGGTATTATTGTACACGTGTGGTATTCTCTAACACGTGTAGATATTATTGTACACGTGTGGGTATTACTGTACACGTGTGAATATTACTGTACGTGTGATTATTGTACGTGTGGGTATTACTGTACACGTGTGAGTATTACTGTACGTGTGGGTATTATTGTACACGTGTGGGTATTACTGTCACGTGTGGGTGACCTGTACACGTGTGGGTATTACTAGTACACGTGTGGGTATTATTGTACACGTGTGGGTATTACTGTACACGTGTGGGTATTATTGTACACTGTGGTATTACTGTACACGTGTGGTATTACTGTACACATGTGGTATTATTGTACACTGTGGGTATTACTGCACACGTGTGGGTATTACTGTACACGTGTGGTATTACTGTACACATGTGGGTATTATTATACACGTGTGGTGTTATTGTACGTGTGGGTATTACTGTACACGTGTGGGTATTACTGTACACGTGTGGTGTCTGTACACGTGTGAGTATTACTGTACACGTGTGGTGTGTGTACACGTGTGGGTATTACTGTACACGTGTAGTATTACTGTACACATGTGGGTATTATTGTACACGTGGTAGATATTACTGTACGATGTGGTATTACTGTACACGTATGGTATTACTACACGTGTGGGTATTACTGTACACGTGTGGGTATTATACACGTGTGGGTATTATTGTGTACACGTGTAGTATTACTGCACACATGTGGGTATTATTGTACACGTGTGAGTATTACTGTACACGTGTGGTATTACTGTACGTGTAGATTGTGCACGTGTGGGTATTATTGTACACGTGTGGGTATTATTGTACACGTGTGGGTATTATTGTACACGTGTGGGTATTATTGTACACGTGTGGGTATTATTGTACACGTGTGGGTATTACTGTACACGTGTGGGTAGTACTGTACACGTGTGAGTATTACTGTACACGTGTGGGTATTATTGTACACGTGTGGGTATTACTGTACACGTGTGAGTATTACTGTACACGTGTGGGTATTATTGTACACGTGTGGGTATTATTGTACACGTGTGAGTATTACTGTACACATGTGGGTATTATTGTACACGTGTGAGTATTACTGTACACGTGTGAGTATTACTGTACACGTGTGGGTATTATTGTACACGTGTGGGTATTATTGTACACGTGTGGGTATTACTGTACACGTGTGGGTATTACTGTACACGTGTGGGTATTACTGTACACGTGTGAGTATTACTGTACACGTGTGGGTATTATTGTACACGTGTGGGTATTATTGTACACGTGTGAGTATTACTGTACACGTGTGGGTATTATTGTACACGTGTGGGTATTATTGTACACGTGTGAGTATTACTGTACACATGTGGGTATTACTGTACACGTGTGAGTATTACTGTACACATGTGGGTATTATTGTACACGTGTGGGTATTAATGTACACAGTTCAGGACTTTACTCCAGTACCCTTCAGTTATAAAGCTTAACTGGTCCAACATATCTCAATTAATATTTGTTTATCTCTTCCCATCCTATATAAAGTCAATAGTCTACTAGTCTCCAAAATATTACTACAATATAGCCGACATATTTACCCTATATACCAGTGAATCATAAATACCCAATATGTCATATACAGTATACTAGATTTCCAGTGATGTATGCCATGAAAACCCAATTTGTCATATATAGTAAAAACAATTTTCAATATTTTCAAAACTTGTCAATCATAATCACTTCAGGCCAGTGTGTTGACGACCAGTAAAAGGACAACTTCCAAATTGTTTTAGGATTTCTAGATAAAGTTATGGAGATGAGTTTGATTGAGGCTTTGTGAGGCTGGTCACCAAATAGTGTATGTATGTATATATATATATATACATACATACATACATACATATATATATATATATATATATATATATATATATATATATATATATATATATATATATATATATATATATATATGCAAGTAAATCACTGTAGGTGCGCGTGATCTAGGTATATGCTGATAACCACAAGGAAAGAAGATAACACAAAGTTCCCAAGCGCTTTCGTGTAATTCACATCTTCAGGGGTGAGTACAGACTAAGGAGAAGTACAAAACAAGGTGTATATATACAGAGGAGGGTGAGATCAGGTCCACAATGTCAGGTATTAGGTAATGACCCTACTAATCTTTAAATAGCACCGCAACGGTCGGTAGTCAGGTCAGAGGGTAAGGTGACCCAACCTTCTCACCTGGTTACAAATCTTCTTAATTACAAAATTGTCCAGTTTGTACATGCCATTACTCAAATTCATGTTGAATGCTTCGGTATGTTTAATGAGACTAGATTCTATGATGTTCCTACTGTCAATTGAATTACATGGTAATATTGAGGAGGCATTATCCCAGTCAATGCAATGCTTGTTATCCCTCAAATGAACAAACAGAGCATTGGATTCCTGGCCTGTCCTAACACTATATTTATGTTGTTTAAGTCTAGTTACAAGATCTTTACCTGTCTGGCCTAAGTAAAACATATTACATTCCTTGCAAGGATCTTTATAAATGCAACCAATTGTGTTGTTGGGGGCGTTCTTGATTAACATTTGTTTAACAGTGCATGAGTTTTTAAATGCCACATTGACGTGTTCAGGAAGGAGATGCATTAGTATAATTTAATAGTATCATCACTAACCTAAACTAACCTAATCTACCCAATCCTAAGCTAACCTAACCTCAACTAAACTAACCTAACCTAACGCTGCCTTAAAATACACTAGTTTCCATTAAGTAATAACAATAGCAACAAACAGTTATCTCTCATTGACAAAAAGACGTCAGTTACAGCTTAAGGATTAACCGAGCGATTATCTCCAGTGAGCCTGACATAATATACACGAGTGTGTCTTTATATATGTATGTTTGTGTGTATGAATGTATGACTTCCTTTGTATGGATGCGAGTAATATTTTTGTTTACATATCATCGGCAGTCAGTTCAGATAGTGAAACTTCCATATAAGAACATAAGAAAATAAGGAGTCTGCAATAGGCCGGTTGGCCTGTGCATGGCAGCTCCTGTCGAGAGTTACAACCACTCTCTATCATCCATGAATCTATCTAGCCTCCTTTTGAAACTTTCCAGAGTTCCAGCACTTACTACAAAGTTGGTAAGCTTGTTCCACTCGTCCACCACCCTATTTGTGAACCAGTTTCTTCCTATCTCCCTCCTAAACCTATCCAACTTAAATCCGTTGCTCCGAGTCCTATCCTGCTCGGATATTATAAGAACTTTATCTATATCCCCTTTATTGATTCCTTTCACCCACTTAAATACCTCTATCATATCTCCCCGCACTCTTCGTCTTTCTAGGGAATGCAAGTTAAGTTTCTTTAACCTATCCTGATATGGAAGGTTTCTAAGTCCCGGAATCATTTTCGTCATTCTTCGCTGCACCGACTCTAGTGAATTTATATCCATTCTATAATAAGTGCACCAGAACTGAACCGCATAATCGAGGTGCGGCCTGACTAGCGCAAGATATAGTTGCAATAAGACCTCTGCACTCTTATTACTAACACTTCTAGATATAAAACTCAATACTCTGTTTGCCTTATTTCGAACATTAACGCACTGTTTTCTAGGCCGTAGGTCCGGGCTTACAAGTACCCCTAGGTCTCTTTCACAAGTCAACTTCTCTAGGTTGATGTTGTCAAGGCTGTATACACTGACAGTATTTGTTCTTCCAATATTAAGTACACTGCACTTGCTGGTATTGAATTTCATTTGCCATTTTTCAGACCACCCCTGAGGTTTGTTTAACGGACTTCTCTCTCCATATAATACGTTAGATGGAGGGTTTCACATCTAATGAACCCTCCATATAACGGAATTTCCTCTCCATATAGTCCGTTAAATAGAGGTTTTACTGTACACCCACACTAACCCCCCCCCTCCCACCCTCAGCCCCTGGACAGAGACCCTCCCCACGGGCGGGCTCAGTGGCGTCTGCGGGTAACGGCGACGGACGGACAGCTGGAGACGCACACCGACGTACGCGTCAACCTGAAGGACGTCAACGACAACGCCCCCTACTTCCCCTCCCACATTACCACCGCCACCGTGTCCGAGGATACGCCCAAAGGTACGTGTTCCAGAAGTGCGTGGTCCAGGAGTGCGTGATCCAGGAGTGCGTGGTCCAGGAGTGCGTGGTCCAGGAGTGCGTGGTCCAGGTGTACTGAACCACTGGAGCACTATACTGAACCACTGGAGCACTATACTGAACCACTGGAGCACTATACTGAACCACTGGAGCACTATATTGAACCCCAACAACTATTAGCCAGAAGCCTCCAGTGTGATCTCATCCAAGGGCCTATTTGATCTGGTCACTGAGTCCACGTTTTTTGTGTGTTTTGTTTTTTTACAAGAATTAGCCCACCCGGAAACGACCCACAACGGGGGGGGGAAGAACAGAAAAAATTGAAAATAGAGAACAAAAGGTTATATTGTGTTAATCTACACCACGTATCATCCTTCGAGTCCAAATATCATCCCTGTCCACATATTATCAGTTTCCACATATCCCTGAGTCCACATCCCCCTGTTTCCACATATCCCTGAGTCCACATATTATCACCCCCTGTTTCCACATATCCCTGAGTCCACATATTATCACCCCCTGTTTCCACATATCCCTGAGTCCACATATTATCACCCCCTGTTTCCACATATCCCTGAGTCCACATATTATCACCCCCTGTTTCCACATATCCCTGAGTCCACATATTATCACCCCCTGTTTCCACATATCCCTGAGTCCACATATTATCACCCCCTGTTTCCACATATCCCTGAGTCCACATATTATCACCCCCTGTTTCCACATATCCCTGAGTCCACATATTATCACCCCGAGTGCACATGTTATTATCCCGAGTCTACATATTATCACCACCTGAGTCCACACAGGTAAGAACGTGGATGCCATGTTAGTCGCAGATCATTGTAAACAGTGTTATTAGTCTATCAAAGTGAAGGACTATTCCAGCGTGAAGGAACTGTGGGCGGAGGTGAGTGACTGACTGAGGAGTTATTTGAGTGACCACTTAGACGTCCTCACCACTCATTACCAAGAACTATTCCAGCGTGAAGGAACTGTGGGCGGAGGTGAGTGACTGACTGAGGAGTTATTTGAGTGACCACTTAGACGTCCTCACCACTCATTACCTACAGGCGGACCTTCCCTCTCTGAATCCTGTTTGTCCTCAGCGTGTGTGTATAAGTCTTCACCCAAATGTCTCCGTGTTCTCTTTTGGTCCATCTTAGGCCGTTCATCTGACCACTTGTTATGTTAACAGTCATCTCGTGGCTGTATGTATGTATGTATGTCACTTTCTCTCCTTCCTCCGATCTTTCTCTTCCAGCTCGTTTCTGTCACTCAGGGTTTCATTTATATTCAGTTTTCTGTATCCAATTCATCGACCATCCCCCCGGACACGACCCAGCCATCTTTTCTGCAGTCTCTCAGTCTCTCTCATTATTGATGTTAGTTGAACCTGTCTTGGGTGTGTGTGGTCCTGTACCTTTTAAGTTTACTTAGTATTGTTATTATTTATTATTATTATTATTATTATTATTAAAACACTATTCCCTGATGAAGGCTTCTCTCCACAGCGAGTGACTGATGTCTGTTGTCCATCCTCGTCTATTTTATTAACCTTCAGTCTCATTAATGTTGACCAAAGCCTTCTTATCTTAATCAATCTTTGCTCCATTTGCATATCATAAGCCATTGTAAGGGAGTTTACCTGAACGTAGGCTGAGAAGACACGCCTCTCCTGATCTTGTGGTGGTTAGTAGGAGATTACCGGGTTTAATGTGCAGATTATACACTCCAGCTTAATGTACTTAAAGATTAACCACCCTAACGCTACCTTGGGAAGATGGGTTAGGTTAGGTTAGGTTTTGAGTATAGTGCACAGAGGTAATGGTGGCAGCAGTTGGCATCAATTCTAACCTGACGACGCCATTAATGTCTCAAATAAAAATAAACCTGAGTTTTCTAGCAGACATTTGGAGTTCGTAATTTATTTGTATTTTTTATTATTAATAATTTTTGGGGTGGTGCGGGTGTGGGTGGTGCGGGTGTGGGTGGTGCGGGTGTGGGTGGTGCGGTGGTGAATATTAGTGAACCTCTGCGACGGTATTCTTATTGAACCGTCTCTTTCATACCTTGTGGCTCGTGATGATACACCCGACTTTCATCTTCACCAACAATACTACCTAACAATTCTTCGTCTCCGACGCCTGGTTCCCAACAACAACTCTGGAAACTTCTCATCTGCTTTCTTCATTACTTCATTCAGGAAATTTATTTGTATTTTTTATTATTAATAATTTTTGGGGTGGTGCGGGTGTGGGTGGTGCGGGTGTGGGTGGTGCGGGTGTGGGTGGTGCGGTGGTGAATATTAGTGAACCTCTGCGACGGTATTCTTATTGAACCGTCTCTTTCATACCTTGTGGCTCGTGATGATACACCCGACTTTCATCTTCACCAACAATACTACCTAACAATTCTTCGTCTCCACGCTCCTGGTTCCCAACAACAACTCTGGAAACTTCTCATCTGCTTCTCTTTCATTACTTCATTCAGGAAATACAGCACACACACACACACACACACACTTTGCGGTGGTACCTGTGATATGTCAAGATTGGTAGCTCGTGTGTTGGTGTATAACACTGACACTGTTTCATCATCTATTTTCAATTTCTTTGTTTTATTTTTTTCGCCCCCCTCAGGCCCCGTTGTGGGTCGTTTGACCTGTGCCCGGGTGGGCTAATTCCCGTTAAAAAAATAAAAATAAAAATGAAATATATATATATATATATATATATATATATATATATATATATATATATATATATATATATATATATATATATATATATATATATATATATATATATATATATATATATGTTTAGGTTGTTTAGTTTAGTTTAGATTAAGTTAGGTTAAGTTAAGTTAAGTTAGATTAGGTTAAGTTATGTTAGGTTAGGTAAGGTAAAAATAGCGTTTGTGTGTTTAATCGTCAGGTGAAATAGGCTGGCTAATATTCATGTATCTCAACAATGTTTAAAATTTACTGATGATATTATAAAAAACTTACGATTTAAACTTCAGGTTCAGGAGGAAATATTTTTTTTCGGGTTTTTGTGGTAATGATTTAATGATTATGCATGACTCAAAAAATACTGAAAATCTAAAATGGATAAAAAAAAATTGTTGGCGAAATTGTCGGAAGTTATTGTGAAAATTACACAAGTACTGGAGACTTGTTTTATGTTTTTTATTGGTTGATTAAATGGTTTTATTTTGGTTGTGTTTTAAAGAATTTCATCACAGGTTTGTTTATATATTTGCTCCGATTACTCCCCCTCTCACTATCACTACTCCCTCTCCCTCACACCATCTTCCTCTAACTCTCACTATCTCCCTCTGCCATTTCATTACCAGGGAGGTTATCGACATCATATCCCCTCCCGCCCATCATTTTTCTCCCTCTCCCTCACCATTATGTAAATTCTGGGTAGACTGCCTCGTGTGGCCTCTGTCTGCCTGGGTGTTGGACCAGGTAGGTACTGTGGCCCTCGACCTCTATGCCTTATGGCCTTCGACTCTACTAAGTCAGTTTCTACAGTAAATTATACGTCGACTACTATTATTATTATGGGAATTGACCTGACCTGGCTTTAATTGTCTTCGTTTAGAGTCAATAGGTAAATGTGTATCACTTAATGAATGACGCGTCACCAGGTACTGTGGTGGCCCATATGGTGGCCACTGACCACGACGACCCTGACGAGGGCCACAACGCCCGGCTGGTGTACTCGCTGGAGAAGAATGTGATCGACGAGTCCTCCGGCAGCGCCATCTTCAACATAGACAGTGAACTGGGCGTCATCACCACCGCTCTCTGCTGCCTCGACCGTGAGAAGACCCAGCAGTATGCCATCCAGGTGGTGGCTACAGACGGTGGTGGCCTCAAGGGTGAGTGTACTGTACCGGGTGGGTGTACCGTTATACTGTACCAGAGGATGAGTACAAGGGTGAGTATACCGTAGTGAAGTGTACCACTGTGTATAACACGTAGTTTTACGAGTGAGTACCACGACTTGCTCAGGAACTGGGGTACGATAAAGGGTTGTTCTCGTTAACACCGTATATGACAATCAGGTAACAGCAACAAAAACAACACAACAACAATAACAACAACACAACAACAATAACAACACCACAACAACAACAACAACAACACAATAACAATAACACAACAACAATAACAACACAACAACAATAACAACAACACAACAACAATAACAACAACACAACAACAATAACAACACCACAACAACAACAATAACAAGGCACAACAACCAAGCTTAACGACACAACAACAATGGCAACGGCACGCAGCGCAATAACAACAGCACAACAGCAACAATAACAACACCACAGCAACAACAATAACAAAGACACAACAACAATAACAACAGCTGTAACATTGGCGCAACAACAACCGTATGTACAACAACAATAACAACAGCGCAACAAGCAACAACACAACAGCAACAGCAACAACACAACAGCAATAACAACAACGCAACAACAATATGACAACACAACCAACAGCAACAACACAGCAACAGCAACAACAACACAACAACAATAACAACAGCACAACAACAACAACACAACAACAACAACAACAACACAACAACAATAACCTAGCAACACAACAACAATAGCAACAACACCCAACAGCAACAAAAACAACACAACAACAATAACAACAACACAACAACAATAACAACACCACAACAACAACAACAACAACACAATAACAATAACACAACAACAATAACAACACAACAACAATAACAACAACACAACAACAATAACAACAACACAACAACAATAACAACACCACAACAACAACAATAACAAGGCACAACAACCATGCACCATGTGTGTCAAGTGTCACTTGTTGACCTCTCAGGTACAGGGACGGTGGTGGTGGATGGAGTGTCATGTGTGTCAGGAGTGTTACGTATGTCAAGTGTGTCAGGTATGTCAGGAGTGTCATGAGTGTCATGTGTCTCAGGAGTGTTACGTATGTCAAGTGTGTCAGGTATGTCAGGAGTGTCATGTGTGTCAAGTGTATCAGGTGTCGCCCCTTGGCTCCCCCAGGTACAGGGACGGTGGTGGTGGAGGTGCAGGACGTGAACGACGTGCCGCCGAGGTTCTCACGCCCCGAGTGGACGCTGGACGTGTCCGAGAGCCTCACCCCCGACCACGTCCTGGCCACCCTCACCGTCGTCGACCAAGACGTGTCCAACAACTTCTCCTACAGGGTCAGTACCTCCCTCCCCACACCCACTCCTACAGGGTCAGTACCTCCCCCCACACCCACTCCTACAGGGTCAGTACCTCCCTCCCCACACCCCTCCTAGGGTCAGTGCCTCCCCCCCCCTCTACAGGGTCGTGCCTCCCCCCCACCCCCTCCCAGGGGTCAGTGCCTCCCCACCCATTCCTACAGGTCAGTACCTCCCACCACTCCTACAGGGGTCCCTCCTCCCCACCCCACTCCTACAGGGTCGTGCCTCCCTCCCACCCCCTCCTGGTCAGTACCTCCCCCACACCCATTCCTACAGGGTCGTGCCTCCTCCCCACCACTCCTACAGGGTCAGTACCTCTCCCACCCACTCTACAGGTCAGTACCTCCCCACCCCACTCTACAGGGTCATTCTCCCCACCCCTCCCTACAGGGTCATGCCTCCCTCCCCACCCCTCCTACAGGGTCCATGCCTCCCACCCCACTCCTGGGGTCAGTACCTCCCACCCCTCCCTGGGGTCAGTGCCTCCTCCCCACCCCTCCTACAGGTCAGTGCCTCTCCACCCACTCCTACAGGGTCAGTGCCTCTCCACCCACTCTACAGGGTCAGTGCCTCTCCACCACCCACTCCTGGGGTTGGCCTCCCACCCCACTCCTACAGGGTCAGTACCTCTCCCACCCCACCTCCTACAGGTCAGTGCCTCTCCCACCCCACTCCTACAGGTCAGTGCCTCTCCCACACCCCACTCCTACAGGTCAGTACCTCCTCTCCCACACCCACCCTGGGGTCAGTACCTCTCCACCCACTCCTACAAGGTCAGTGCCTCACCCCACCTCCTGAGGTCAGTGCCTCTCCACACCCTCCCCACAGGGTCAGTGCCTCCTCTCCACCCTCCCCTGGGGTGGTCCTCTCCCACCCCTCCCAAGGGTCAGTGCCTCACCCCTCCTACAGGGTCAGTGCCTCTCCCACCCCACTCCTGGGGTCAGTGCCTCTCCCACACCCCACTCTAGGTCAGTGCCTCTCCCACCCCACTCCTGGTCCAGTACCTCCCACCCACTCTACAGGGTGTGCCTCCTCTCCCCCCCACTCCTACAGGGTCAGTGCCTCTCCCACACCCACTCCTACAGGGTCAGTGCCTCTCCCACCCCACTCCTACAGGGTCAGTACCTCTCCCACCCTCCCCTACAGGGTCAGTACCTCTCCCACACCCCTCCTACAGGTCAGTGCCTCTCCCACCCCTCCCTAAGGTCGTGCCTCTCCACACCCCTCCCTACAGGTCAGTACCTCTCCCACACCCACTCCTACAGGTTGTACCTCTCCACCCCACTCCTACAAGGTCAGTGCCTCTCCCACACACCCCTCCCTGCACAGTTAGCCTCTCCCCCACTCCTACAAGGTCAGTACCTCCACCCACCATAATTTAACGGTGATAATAATAATAATAATAATAATAATAATAATAATAATAATAATAATAATAATAATAATGAAACATGTTATGACACTTACTGTACATTATAGTTAAGAGAGTTCGTCTATCACCACACACACACACACACACACACCACACACACACACACACACACACACACACACACACACACACACACACACACACACACACACACACACACACACACACACACACACACACACACACACACACACAAGATTATTCTCTCCCTTCTCTCCCATATCAAGCGCTCAACACACTGACCCTTTCGACTCTCACTGACCATCACCACGGCCTCATCTGCAAATTTGTTAGGCTTCTACACCATCGACACCGCCCTACCTGAGATCCCTGTCCGAGAATTGCTGTTCGACACCACAACCGCATCCAGCCCATACGTGCACGAACTGATCCTATAAGAACAGCCCAGTCCCAACCATTAAAATTATCAATAACATGTAATACATCAATTATTCACTCCCAGTAAACACTGCTCCCCACATCACTATGTTGAAATGAACTGTAGTTTGAGCTGATCCCCATCTAAGTTACTATATGTATTTGTGTCACTTATGTCACTTGTATAATTTTTGTAATTCGTAACCATTCCCCAAATATGTAACTGTATATTTTCAGCCTTCTGGCTGTAAGCTCTTTCAATAAACCGTTAATTATTATTATTATTATTACACAGTATTTACCATTAATAATCTGAGTCATCCCCTATAGGTAGTGCCAGGTAGTGGTCGTGGTTGGCAGATGTTCCGTGTGAAGGGTCGACGTCTAGGTACTCTGGGGTGACCTGCGGGCGGTGACTCCCCTGGACTACGAGGCCGAGCCACCGACAGGGGTTCCGCTTTAGGGTCCAGGTGACAGACTTGGTAGGTGTTGATGTGTCTGTCTGTTAATGTGGCTGTAAATAAGTGCTTGTGTATTATAATAAGTGTTTGTGTATGATAATAAGTGTTTGTGTATGATAATAAGTGTTTGTGTATGATAAGTGTTTATGTATGATAACAAGTGTTTGTGTATGATAATAAGTGTTTGTGTATGATAAGTGTTTATGTATAATAAGTGTTTATGTATAATAATAAGTGTTTGTGTATTATAATAAGTGTGTATAATTAAGTGTTTGTGTATGATAATAAGTGTTTGTGTATGATAATAAAGTGTTTGTGTATGATAATAAGTGTTTGTGTGTGATAAGTGTTTGTGTATGATAATAAGTGTTTATGTATGATAATAAGTGTCTGTGTATTATAATAAGTGTGTATGATAATAAGTGTTGTGTATGATAATAAGTGTTTATGCATAATAATAAGTGTTTGTGTATTATGATAAAGTGTTTGTGGATGATAATAAGTTTTGTTATTATAATAAGTGTTTGTGTATGATAATAAGTGTTTATGTATGATAATAAGTGTTTATGTATTATAATAAGTGTTTGTGTATGCTAATAAGTGTTTATGTATTATAATAAGTGTTTATGTATTATAATAAGTGTTTATGTATTATAATAAGTGTTTGTGTATGATAATTAGTGTTTGTGTGTGATAATAAGTGTTTATGCATTATAATAAGTGTTTATGCATTATAATAAGTGTTATGTATGATAATAAGTGTTTATGTATTATAATAAATGTTTATATTATTATAATAAGTGTTTATGTATTATAATAAGTGTTTGTGTATGATAAGTGTTTGTGTGTGATAATAAGTGTTTATGCATTATAATAAGTGTTTATGCATTATAATAAGTGTTTATGTATGATAATAAGTGTTTATGTTATAATAAGTGTTTATGTATTATAATAAGTGTTTATGTATTATAAGTGTTTGTGTATGATAATTAGTGTTTTGTATGATAATAAGTGTTTATGCATTATAATAAGTGTTTATACATTATAATAAGTGTTTGTATTATGCTAATAAGTGTTTATGTATTATAATAAGTGTTTATGTATTATAATAAGTGTTTTATGTATTATAATAAGTGTTTGTGTATGATAATTAGTGTTTGTGTGTGATAATAAAGTGTTTATGTATGATAATAAGTGTTTATGCATTATAATAAGTGTTTATTGCATTATAATAAGTGTTTATGCATTATAATAAGTGTTTATGTATATGATAATAAGTGTTTATGTATTATAATAAGTGTTTATGTATTATAATAAGTGTTTATGTTATAATAAGTGTTTGTGTATGATAATTAGTGTTTGTGTGTGATAATAAGTGTTTATGTATGATAATAAGTGTTTATGCATTATAATAAGTGTTTGTGTATGATAATTAGTGTTTGTGTGTGATAATTAGTGTTTATGTATGATAATAAGTGTTTATGCATTATAATAAGTGTTTATGCATTATAATAAGTGTTTATGTATGATAATAAGTGTTTATGTATTATAATAAGTGTTTGTGTATGCTAATAAGTGTTTGTGTATGATAATAAGTGTTTGTGTGTGATAATAAGTGTTTATGTATGATAATAAGTGTTTGTGTATGATAATTAGTGTTTTGTGTGTGATATAAAGTGTTTATGTATTATAATAAGTGTTTGTGTATGATAATTAGTAGTTTGTGTGTGATATAAGTGTTTGCATTATAATAAGTGTTTATGCATTATAATAAGTGTTTATATTATAATAAGTGTTATGTATTATAATAAGTGTTTTGTGTATGATAATTAGTGTTTCTGTGTGATAATAAGTGTTTATGCATTATAATAAGTGTTTATGCATTATAATAAGTGTTTATGTATTATAATAAGTGTTTGTGTATGATAATTAGTGTTTGTGTATGATAATTAGTGTTTATGTATGATAATAAGTGTTTATGTATTATAATAAGTGTTTATGTATTATAATAAGTGTTTGTGTATGATAATAAGTGTTTGTGTATGATAATAAGAGTTGATGTATTTTAATAAGTGTTTGTGGATGATAATAAGTGTTTGTGTATGATAATAAGTGTTTGTGTATGATAATTAGTGTTTGTGTATGATAATAAGTGTTTGTGTATGATAATAAGTGTTTATGTATTATAATTAGTGTTTGTGTATGATAATAAGTGTTTATGTATTATAATAAGTGTTTATGTATTATAATAAGTGTTTGTGGATGATAATTCGTGTTTGTGTATGATAATAAGTGTTTATGTATTATAATAAGTGTTTATGTATTATAATTAGTGTTTGTGTATGATAATAAGTGTTTATGTATTATAATAAGTGTTTGTGGATGATAATAAGTGTTTGTGTATTATAATACGTGTTTGTGTATGATAATTAGTGTTTGTGTATGATAATAAGTGTTTATGTATTATAATAAGTGTTTATGTATTATAATAAGTGTTTATGTATTATAATAAGTGTTTGTGTATGATAATAAGTGTTTATGTATTATAATAAGTGTTTATGTATTATAATAAGTGTTTGTGGATGATAATAAGTGTTTGTGTATGATAATAAGTGTTTGTGTATGATAATTAGTGTTTGTGTATGTATTGGCTAGTGTTTGTGTATGATAAGTGTTTATGTATAATAAGTGTTTATGTATAATAATAAGTGTTTGTGTATTATAATAAGTGTGTATGATAATAAGTGTTTGTGTATGATAATAAGTGTTTGTGTGTGATAATAAGTGTTTGTGTATGATAATAAGTGTTTATGTATGAAGTGTTTATGCATAATAATAAGTGTTTGTGTATTATAATACAGTGTTTGTGGATGATAATAAGTTTTATGTATTATAATAAGTGTTTATGTATGATAATAAGCGCGCTTGCGTATGATAATAAGTGTTTGTGTATTATAATAAGTGTTTATGTATTATAATAAGTGTTTATGTATGATAATAAGTGTTTGTGTATGATAATAAGTGTTTGTGTATGATAAGTGTTTGTGTATGATAATAAGTGTTTGTGTATTATAATAAGTGTTTATGTATTATAATAAGTGTTTGTGTATTATAATAAGTGTTATGTATTAAAATAAGTGTTTGTGTATGATAATAAGTGTTTGTGTATGATAATTAGTGTTGTGTATTATAATAAGTTTTTGTGGATGATAATAAGTGTTTATGTATGATAATAAGTGTTTGTGTATGATAATTAGTGTTTGTGTATGATAATAAGTGTTTATGTATTATAATAAGTGTTTGTGTATGATAATAAGTGTTTATGTATGATAATAAGTGTTTATGTATTATAATAAGTGTTTGTGTATGATAATAAGTGTTTGTGGATGATAATATGTGTTTATGTATGATAATAAGTGTTTATGTATGATAATAAGTGTTTGTGTATGATAATAAGTGTTTATGTATTATAATAAGTGTTTATGTATTATAATAAGTGTTTGTGGATGATAATAAGTGTTTGTGTATGATAATAAGTGTTTGTGTATGATAATAAGTGTTTTTGTATTATAATAAGTGTTTGTGTATGATAATAAGTATTTATGTATGATAATAAGTGTTTGTGTATGATAATAAGTGTTTATGTATGATAATAAGTGTTTATGTATTATAATAAGTGTTTATGTATTATAATAAGTGTTTGTGGATGATAATAAGTGTTTGTGTATGATAATAAGTGTTTATGTATTATAATAAGTGTTTGTGTATGATAATAAGTGTTTATGTATTATAATAAGTGTTTTTGTATGATAATAAGTGTTTATGAATCTTATTTTCCTTTCTCATTTTTGTCACTAATAGTTTGGCCTTGCCTTTACTATTACTGAAATCATTCTTATATAATTGTGAACTGTGATCTATGGCGTCTGTGAACCTTAGTATGTGTTAAGTTTTATACATGTGTAAGAATTTGTTGAGGTTTATGTTATGTTTTATGAGGACCGTAAATATGTTGTATAATGTAAACCTTCAACTTTTAATATAATCATCTATATTTATCAAATGTAAACAGCCCATCATCACTACTACCACCACCACTCCTTCATCACCACCACCACTCCTTCATCACCACCACCACCACTCCTTCATCACCACCACCACCACTCCTTCATCACCACCACCACCACCACTCCTTCATCACCACCACCACCACTCCTTCATCATCACCACCACCACCACCATTCCATCACCACTACTAACTTGTCCACGCCCCTTCTCTCGTGCAGGGGGAGGAGGGCTGGAATGACAAGTACCACGTGGACGGCGCCTGGATCAATCTCCGCCTGGTGGACGACAATGACAACACTCCCGTCTACGAGAACGACCATGCCAACATCACCCTTCCTGAAGACACGCCAACCTGCACCCTCCTGACCACCTTCACCGCCAGTGACCGTGATGGGGTGAGTACTGCTGTTCCTCCTTCTTCAGGTGAGTCTTACTTCTTCAGGCGAGTCTTACTTCTTCAGGCGAGTCTTACTTCTTCAGGCGAGTCTCTTTAGGTGACTTAGGTACCAGTGATGACCGGTGATTGTGTGGTAGTTTGGTTTCGAAGTGGTGATTGTCAGCGATTGTTATCTTCACCATCACTACTACAGCTTGTCATCATAACTCATTAATCACTCGCTATCACCACTCTCCACCACCAATCACCATTATCACCACCACCAACAATCGTCACCATCAGCAATCACCACCACCATTCACCGCAAACCCCCCCCCCCTCCCCCAGGGTGGACAGACCCGCGTGCGGTACAAGATAGCGGAGAACAGCGACCCGGCGCGGCAATTTGGGGTGGACAAGTCGGGTGCGGTGTGGCTGGTGGGCGGCCTCGACAGGGAAACGGAAGCCGCCCACCGTGTGCAAGTATGGGCGGTGGACAATGGCGTGCCATCCAGGACTGCTACTGCCACCCTCAA